TTGGTCAGATAACCGATGCATGAACCTAACCTATCAGCTAGCGGCTGTCATGTGACAAAAAGCGGATTTCACTCTCGTTCGACGTCAAATCAGTGCCCGAAATGCTTTTGCCGTTTGTCGTTTTAATATCAGCGTTGTCTATCTCCTTCGGACAATGGATGAACCCACTGTATATGGACTGTGGTAAGTACGGCTTTTCTAAATTTGGATATGGTACTAAGAACGCGTGGTGGCACCCCTGGTGTGCACAGACAACACGAAACCAGGTAGTTTTATTCTTGTGAATCCAAGGTCGTGAAATGTGGCTGTTGATTTAGGAACACTCAAGTGACTCGTAAACCAGTCCTACGTGGAGTGGTCTGTGTTGCGAACCCTCGTAGGGTGAACGCTTCAAATTAGGCAACGAATCAGATCTCTCCGTTCTGATTCTCACCACACTTGCAGCAACCAGGTCGCATTCTAAACGTGGTGCTGTAAAACAGCCACGGGCTTACTCCAATTGAAATCTGTAACGAACACAGGCTTTCGAGTGTGGTGATGAACTTTTTGTGAGCAGTGCTTTGCCAACTTGAGGCTTAGTCTACTGGGCTTATTAAGTATGAGCAACAACTTATTCGCTGACTGTGGAAGTCACGTTGCGAACATCTATGAAAAAACGGACACTGCGTAATACGCATTAGCTGGTTCAAGTAAAGGACCGATCGCGATCTCATCTTTTTGTCGACAATTATATATGATAACACAGAAACTGTCGGAAACCATTGTATATTCGACAACTCGGTATGGCATGAAACGTACGACCAATGTATGGTTTTGCCTTCAAAGGTTACATGCTGTTTTGGTGCTAAGGGTTCTCATTGGTAACGTGGGACTTAACACAGTAAAAGCAGCATCATATGTTCGAACAGTTGCTTTCCATCACTCAGTGCTATAGTAAGGTCACAGAAGAAGTAAAATAGTCTATAAATTAACGCAGTGTAGTTAATTTGTCAGATGGGACACTAAGGGAAGGGAACGCTATCGTTAGAAAAAAGGCAGGTTCAGGGTAAACGGAAAAGCTACGGGTGCAGTTCCAAACACCAGGAGCCTTGTATTTGCACTAAAATGAAGCACATAGGTGGTTTTACTCTTATGAAGGCGGATATAATATAAATATAAATGATCGTTCACCGCTTCGGTGCCTAGCTGCTACGCCACCCGAAGGAATCACCAGGACTGCCAGGTTGTCCATTCCTAGACAGAAGAAGTCGAGATGCAGAGGTCGGATTCGAAACATGGAACTTCCAGGGATTAAATCCGCGTTTTAACCACCAAGCCCTCTCTACCGCCCAGGCGGACAGAGGTTAGCTAGGTAATCTCATTATGAAATATGAGCGATAGTTTACCTCGCCAATGGACCTCACCCATAACTTGACAATGGCAATCTTAGTCAATGGTGAAAAGGCGTAGGGTTGAAGTTTGTAGAAATTGTAAATCCACGATAAAAAGGTCAAGATGTGGCATCGGTTAGACCTAAATAATTACTTCAGCTGTAACACCCCTCTGGCGCCTAGCTGCCATGCCACCCAAAGGAAGCACGAGGGCTGGTTGCTCAAGCCTAGACAGAGGAAGTCGAGAAAGTAAGAGTTTGGATTTGAACCATGGATCCGACGGTCAGTAAATTGGCGCTCCAGCCACTCGAGCCATCTCGGTTAGACTTAAAAAAGTACGATCCGATGACGACTTTTCAGAGTGCCTGAAATCCACAGGGCAGATGTCCCGATAAGACCAATTGGGTATCGTGTATGTTCGCCACTCACTTGGAAATCAGCCACCCATATTGGAGGCTCCTACGATTTTGCCGACAAAGTGACACCATTTGGTTTGGAAGGAAATGGAGTCCCCGTGCGTTTTAATATCAACTGAGTGAATACAAGCATTCCGAGGGCGGTAACCGAGAGGTTGTTGTTGACGGACACGACCCGTGAAGAACAAATACGGCTTTCTGTGTGTGAAATATCTGAAGGTATAACAGTGTGTTTGACCACTGTTTTTCACTTAGCTGTTAACTTTGAAGAACAAGGTCTAACAGTGGAATCTCCGAATCTCCCAGTCTTAACTGATATTAATATGGAAGATTTCGAACAAATGTCTTCGGTCAGATGTCATCGCCTGGCGGTTTTTTAAACAGGTATGCTGACAACAATCATTTTTTGTCATCAAACATGGTGAGGTCAACAGCTTCCATTAGTATTTCAACCTTGAACACACATTAATTTTAGCATGGAGATGGAATCCATATCGGTACACCACACTTCTTGAATTGTACTACACATCGGAGTGGTGGTCAATTAAAAAACTACTTCCCACCAGGAGTCAATAGACACGGGTGGCGTCCAAAAAGAACAACCCATCAGCCCATTCAAGAGTGGTGTATCCAAGCTGTGCTTCATCCATATATAGTCCAGTCAGAGTGCTGCGCGCAGATGAGATCGACTGAGCAGCAGTCTAAATTGCAGTTAAAACAAACTCAGGGAGTGTGGCTACCAAACGAGTTTGTTTAGGCGAGAGTTAAGGAGGGTATTGGCTCCGGAATCAAGACCTAGTGAGGAATGGATTGGCGCAGTAGTCAGTCCATATAAAGCAGGAACATCCTGGATTTACAGAACAGAAAACCGTTGTGTTAAGCATTCGTACGTTCGACGGATTCCCTCGTGATTGAAAGGTCTAGAGATTGTGTACATAAAATGAAACGCAGTGACTGCACTACAGCACATGTAGGATAAACAGCAAAGGAACTACACACCAGAGTACAAGGGATAAATACTAGGGACTGATCAAGAACTCGTTGTTAGTGGGATATGAGCTAGACACGGGACATAAAACGTGACAGTTGTAAGACGCGTACTACAACTCACCACAGCAATTGCTGATCAAGGCAGTGGAAAGCCTCAATCACCTTGTTTGGATGGAATCGAAGACGTAGTAGTTGTGGGCGTATCGCGATTGATTGTCAGTGAAAATGGTATTATTAACAGAATCGGTAGAAATCACAACCCGACCGAAGTTCACTCTCAGTCCCCTCCGCTTATCCAAAGTTCATCCCACCAGCTAGTCAACGTAGACCGGCTAGTACTGTTAAAAGGAACTTCGAATGAAATAAACAGGAAGACCAAATTCCTAGATTTGGTCTGGCTTCACGTAAATTTCCCCCTAACCCACTGGTTTTAACACAAACAAACCAAATACATTAGCTGACATCTGACACTGATTTAGCCTGCTAGTAGTAGGAGGTCCTGCTGACTGGTTCTCATTCTACCTTGAAACTTCTACCCTAGTATCTTCGTCTGACGTAGTTTTGTGTAAAAAGCAAAACACTCTCCAGAAAAAGATATACCAGTTGCTCTCTAGATTTCTCCAAAAACGAAAACCACCATTTGTTTGACGAAGATTGCAAACAAAAGGTAATTCTTACTTTCGAAGCAAAATTTGTAAGGCAGTGGCCAAAAATCAATATTGACAGCAAAAACATGCCTTGATTTCAATCAATTGGAAAAAGTTTGGAACCGACTGAGAAGTCATCGTTTCAGAAGAGCTTGGTAAACAATCGGTAGTTTTTATTTGGGTAATGTTTCGCTTTTGACACAAAAGCTTCATCAGGCCAAGTGAACAGGTCACCAAATCGGCCAGTTTGTAAGACAGATGGGGAACCAATTAGTAAGTCCTCTCCAAACTAGATCAGTGTTGAGTGTCAATTAACGACTCTTGTTGGCTAGAGTGGGTGCTAAAATCTTGAATTGATGGTTTGGAGGGGTTTCAAATTAGTTCCGATCGCTTTTCATTCCTTAATCTTCCACTTCAGGGTGCTTCACTTGATTCACCTCGGGTGCCACTGGTAGATTTTCCTTAATCTTCGTGGGCAAGTGAATATTGCGACAATTTAGTTGCAGAGAGGAGAGGTTCTTAAGGTTAAGTGGAATCCAGATGATGACTACCCTTTCCTCTGATAATCGCACACCAACACGTGTTAGCTCGATTGACCCAAGACCGTCCTCCACACGCTTACCAGTTCCACGCCTTCTATTCTGTTATTGCTGGGATGCTTGGCGATTTCTACCGCGTCGGTTACCAGTCTTTATGACGTGGACCGTAGTCCTTGCCTCAAAACCTCAACATTTTCTAAGTGTATTTTGTGTCTCGTGTCCAGTGTGTGTTCCGCAATTGCCGAGTCTTTCAGTAACGCCTGATATTCATCTGCGTTTCTCGGCAGCCTGTTTATTTTTCTACTGTGTTCTCCGACTCTGATGTGTAGTTCCCTGGCCGTCTGTCCTATATAGACCTTGGTGCAGTCATTACACTTAATTTTGTAGACACAGTCCTTGGTTCTGTTTGCCGGGAGGCGATCCTTCAATTGCACCAGTGCAGAGCGCAGTGTTCCCCCTTTTAAAGCTACTCTTATGTTAACTGTGTTTAGAATTATTCGAATGACCTCCGACGTCCCTGAAGTGGAAGATTAAGGAATGAAAAGCGATCGGAACTAATTTGAAACCCCTCCAAACCATCAATTCAAGATTTTAGCACCCACTCTAGCCAACAAGAGTCGTTAATTGACACTCAACACTGATCTAGTTTGGAGAGGACTTACTGATTGGTTCCCCATCTGTCTTACAAACTGGCCGATTTGGTGACCTGTTCACTTGGCCTGATGAAGCTTTTGTGTCAAAAGCGAAACATTACCCAAATAAAAACTACCGATTGTTTACTAAGCTCTTCTGAAACGATACCTCGATTTCGTTTGATCTGGCCACCTCGAATTCTCCTACAGCATAGCCTCAGCTTTTCACTGACGATGACCCTACCGCCAGGTCCTACCTCGAACTTTGCTGCAGTACCTTTTCCGTGGTTATTGAGTGTATTTGTCCTACTCTGAAGTTTATCTGATGAAAGGGTATCGTTACTAATACGCTTTTATATCCTGGTAATGCGTTAACGTATCGAGTATGCTACTGGAGTGGACGAAAATGGTTGCAGTCAATCGACAGCAACTTCTCGCAACACGAAGATCTTGGTTTCCTGGGATTATTTTCACTTTCATCTGTTCGATATGTTAGTACAAGTATCGCCTGAAAGTCAGTTGAAGATAAGTCAGTAACTTATGTTGGAGCTTCCCAACCAAGATTGCAAAATGTCCCTCGAAGTTTTAAAGGGTTAAAATTTCTCACAGGATGACATCGAATTGAGGCCAAGGCGATTTTCCCATCTCACAACCTGTGGGCACACCTATAAACTGTAAATATTTTGAGTTTCCTAGATGGACGCGCTTCTTTCCATTGTGAGTACTAAACAATAAACCAATATACGATCGAGTTAGTCACCAGCGCAACTGCACTCTACAGACTGTAGTACCACATTCTATAGAAGTACGTATGGGCTGCGTCGTCATTCGACCACATGTAGCCCAACAACCTGTTCAAATACTATTCAGAAGGATTTGAGTTCGCACCTCACTTCGATTTCCTGGAGTTGTCAAAAGGATGAGGCAACTGTGTGACACTTTTGGGCGTAATTTGACGGGATGGTCTGACAAGCAGCGCGACTGGGACTCGACAGTCACTCAGTGATTCGCATGCTCATTGACTGTTGATTCGAATAAAAACTGCTTATAGTTACGACAGTGTGTGGTGTGCAGAATCTCCGTTATCTTCAAGAGCGTTGACCTCGTACACTTGATTCGGAGCACATTAATTTGTGCTTATCTTTACACCGGTTTGCACTGCAACTCATCGACCACAATTTCATGATAGTTTGTTTATCTGTCACACGGGCTGATAGTCCGCTTGGTCGCAGTTTCGAAGTTTCTACATTGAGGCTGTTTCGGATAAGTGATGTGCGATTTGAATTCAGCGTGACAGAGTCGTTTCTTTGGATTTTAGAATTGTTCTATTTTTGCTTGGTATATGAACCCATATGGACCGACTGATCACCAATGGTTGAAACCATTTGAATTCTTCTACTTGTGGTTAATATAAAAGTCCTTACAGAACTCACCAATAATCATTCGTGTTCGTGCGGGTGATAACCAGAGTGACATATCCCTCCATTAATTTCAAAAAACAAACAAACCTATTCCTATGTTCGATTATCGACATTACATTACTTGTTGAAATCAGTTTTTCCGAGTCGTTTTGAAATGTTGGTATGGTTAGAGAGCATGTCTGAGCACCTCGGCGAGGAAGTCATTTCCCCACTCGGGAAGACCATGAAAATGTTTGCCAACTACAGACATTTTACGACTCCGATATGATATCGGTTTGGCCGCGCTTGATTAGAATATACACTGCTACAGTGTCATCTGTTCCACCGTATATCTCGTGACATGGTTGATGCGTAACGGTCTGTGTTTGCCTATTGGTATCCTCAGAGGCACGCGGACACTTGATAGGAGTACTGGATTAGTAATGCGAAGGTAGGTCAGATGGTTTTCTGTTGGCTACACTTCTCTAGTTACGCTGGTTAGGTCACACACTTCTTATGTCGGAGGACCGTCTGCCTCGAACGGTCCTCTTTGTCCAACAACCTGTCGCAGGGAAATCATCCACTTGCCTTCAGTTTATAACCTCACACCTTACGCGAGCTGGTATCTGTAGTCATCTCCCGGAATTAGGCCCTGTAATGCGACACAACAATGATTAATGAACCTGACACACATGGCCATTTCACACAGCCTCTACCAGAGCCCACGTGCATGGCTCTCACACTAACGTTGTATCCGCCAACTAGAATAGTTTAACGTCAAAGAACTTTCTAGGTAATCACTCCCATCTTACTTTTGTTGTTCCGTTATTCTCCTCATTGTCGGTAACAAAAATATGGCAGCCGGAGCTAGTGTGGCTTACTGACATCTTGTGTAAAATACAAGTGTTCACCGCTCTGGGAATACAAGATTGTGATTAGAAATGAACTAATCCGTAGATATCTGGAAAACATATATAGTTGACGGGATGCTTTGCAGGATTTTCCACACGAACAGAAATAACGGCGACATCTGTAAGGTATTTCAACACACGGAGGCGTATAGATTTGGGAAATATCACATAGTGGATCACACGAGGATGTTTCAAATGAGTCAAGTTCGGGTTGGAAATAGTTCGTCGTTAGTGTACTTGGGGCATCATATTGCGTGAACGGCTTAAAATCCACCGGCCTAAAGACCATCTTATGGAGAACGAAGAGCATTGTTCCAATTTCACGCACTGGCCGAGAGTAGTGTTGTCCTGCCAGCTAACCTAGTGATAATTTAGAGCACATAGTCATTCACAGAGAGGTTGGATGTTGTCGTGATGCGACGGTTTTCCCACCTCACAGAGTGTCTTACTGGGTTTGTTAGTTGACAAGGGTCTGTAAAACGGCTTCCAGGCCTTCAAGATTCGAAAGTTAGACTACTGAGATGATCTTATAACAATCGCCACTGCCTTGAGTTTAGGTTTCCGAGGGGAAAGCTTCGTATGAGGGCCATGATCCGCCTCGCTTCTAAGTTTGGGCTTTTGACAATTCCTCAGCCCATATACAACCGTGAAATACGCACCTAAAAGTACCTTCATGCCGTATCGGCCGTCGGGTGCTGACATCAGCCGGTCGTGTAATTTGCTGCACATAGCACTGCATTGTCGATAACACATGACTGCTGGAGCTTCCCGTCGTTCTTCAATATCTTCCATTCTATTATGACGACCCACTTATCAACCACTCTTCCGTAGACCTTGGGTGCATACATGTCGGTCAGGCAGCCAGGAAAGTAGCTGATTGCACGCCATCGCTCGTGTCTCTTGCTTCTCTTTCAGCGGTCACTCCGTTTTCCACGGCCTCGTACTCTCATCCTCATTACAGACTACATCGGTGATATTCTTATGTAGGCTGGCTAACATACTCTCAATACCTTATCGATAGACGTTTTTGACATGTCTGGAGCCTGAATACAAGATTGACGCTACAGAAACTGCCGTCTTCGTTCAGTCAAATGAGAAATTTAGCTGATTCTTCGATTACTGCTGTTGGTTTCGCTCCCATAGCTCTCAGCTCCCGAGCCGAGGCTTCGTTGCCTGACTAGATGCCCGTAAACAACTACCTCTGTGCCATAGACATTCTTAGCGGCCGAAATAAAAGCCGCTCTTCGGTGATATGCACTTATTTACTATTTACTGTTCAAGTATAATATTAGATTCATGGAGGCTTGGGGCCTACACCTATCACCCAATGAGTCCCAAGAATGGCGAAATCGGTAGTTTCCCATCGAGGAATTCTCAGCACTTTTATAAGCAGTATGCTAGGTCAAGGAAATAACCGCCCTCTGTTTATCGTCTGTGCTGAAACACCAATCAGTGGCATTTTTGTCCTAGTAAAAGATACATACTGCATTGAGAAATAATCGCCCTCTTATCCACCACAGAGTTCAGATACAAGCACTGGAGGTTCCAGTGTCTAAGTGGGCATCCTCGGTTCATCTGAAGCGCTAAATGGTGGCACGCTTAGCTTGAGTGCAACACGTAACGACAGTGGTGAACTTCTTTTTCGACTTAAGTTTCATCACCAGCGGTTCCTCAGTGGTGCTCGGTTAGGGCGAAGTTGATGCCGATGTGTTCCCTGGCATCCCGCTATAAATGAGCAATCGTGGAGCCGAATCGATCATATAGGCATTGTCTGCGGGTAGTCAGTCTGAATCTTCGGCTGCTAACCGCTCTGCAGTACGTATGCTGGTTGCGGTTGTGCCAGCATACGCCGTAGGCTCTCACCAAATTTCCCGGATAAGCATACTTCGAACTTAGCAGTCGTGAAAATTTCTGAGCCACGAATTAAGAAAACATATCTATGCCTGCCATGTGTTGGTTTACAGTCGGCTTCTGCGGAAGAAATGAACCGTAACTGGGAGGGCATAGCAGCTGAACTTGATACCGAAAATGGCTTTTGGGGCTTCCGAGTATGCGAATACTAAGCGCTGGATACAGTTCTTGAAACAAGACGCTGTATCCCTTCGGCTACCGCAGCATACTTCTGTTACACGGGTTGCTAAACGTCAAATGAGGTAAAGCATGTATGCGGATAGGTTATGTGGTGAAACCGGAAAGCCAAAAAAATGCAGTGCAGCGGGAAATGTACTGAAGCTGTCCTGGGCGATCCACAAAACCGGACTCAGGACACCGCGATTAGTCGGCAAATCACAGATAATATTAAGATAATATCAAGCTGAATAGTTTCTATAGCATTTTGTTTAGCCGTCGACTTCCATACCTAAGTCGTTCACTCGAGATAGCTCAGTGAATACGGCGCGGCCGTACTGACCGGAAGCTCTTGGGTTCGAACCTAACCCCGGCACCTCGACTGCACCTGTCTAGGATTGGGCAACTTGGCAGTATCTCAGCCCTCGTGCTTCATTTAGGTGGCATGGCAGCTAGGCACCGAAAGTTGTTACAGCTGTACTCAGATTCAACTTCAGTGTATTAGATACTATTATACTTTCCTGCCCTGAAAAGCCATTATTCTGCCGGGCCAGATGATATTCAACAGCTTTACTTGAGGATGGAGATGAGTCTTTTTGTCCTATCTTCACCAGTTTGTTTTGACATGTGGGCGCAAGAACTTGTTAGAGCTAAATCGGATAGTTCACCGCTGTGTACGAACCGACTGTTTCAACAAAAGTGGTGTAAGACTTGCACCTGTCCCAACCTGCTTACTGACCTCAATAATATTGCGAAGCTCAACCTCTGTCCGTGAGGTGGAAATCCGAGAATATCAACCGGGATTTTGTCAGGGTAGATGGTGAATTACGTCACATGCAACAGCGAAGGATGTTGTGACAACTCACTAATGGCATCTCACCTCAGGTGCTTTCATCTCGTCGCTGTTTTAAAGTGTAAGCGCCCCCTTCTTGGCCGTTTTTCATATGAAAATAAAGCTGCTTTTCCTCACACTTCCCCCCTCTTTCCACTCATGGGTGTATGGATTTATTTCTGTCGATGGTAACGATTACTCGGCAGGATATGAGTAACGGAAGTTTGTATGCAGTAGGGAACATCTAGAAAGAGTCAAGAATAGCGATCATTGTCCAGAAGAGATTCAATGATGTGGACAAGGGAGACCACTCTCTCATCACCCCTATATTGTGAAAATTACCTTGCAGTCCATAATACTGCTTGAGATTTTCCTCAGGTTGGGGATCGGGAAGTAACTCATCCTCTTTGCGACGTCGGGCGAAACATCAGTCGTCCATTTGCAAACATTTAGGTTTGTTCCCAGATGATAATAAGCGTTTATGAGGAGGTACTACCGCTCTCATCTCAAATGTCAGACAACCTGAGTCCAAATCCCAATACCATATAAGGCATACACTGTTTTGGACTCTAACCTGAGCCAGTTTGAGCCGGTAAATTTTTATTTCCTCTGGTTTAACCTAAATAATAATATCAAGTTGGTAGGAAGTGCGTTCGAAAAGATTGATGTTTATACAACTTCAGCCAGCCCAGCAGCTTTCTACAGGCCGACGGGTTTTCAAGTTTTTGCCCAGTGATTCCCCGTGGTTTCATGTGGTCAAGTTGACTGGTTCCTACTGTGCCTGATTAGCGCGTGTTTGCTTCTACCCTACGTTTGCAGGCTCGAAGACGGGAAAGGTGAATTCATTGGAGGTTGTCCCATGCGAAGGCACTTCATGTACTCTTCACAGAGGCAAAAATTCTACGATTAAGTTGGGCTTTCAATCAAGTGAGTTCATTAGCACCTACGCACTTTATCACATCCATCTTGACCATTCTTCCGAGTTGACTCCGTTCACTTTGTTTATTCTTATGCAAGACAAAGTCAACTGCTGAAAGCTACATACATAGTCCAAATCAGTAGACATACAAATGCTGGTTTACTCACCTACTCGAGCATGCGACGTGGGTTGAAGTACTGAAGCTATGAGTTGCCTATAGTTTAAGAAGACTTTTCTGTTTCTTGACCTTCGATTGAAGCAAATCCGCGGTCTTACCCGAGCTGGCTGTATGGAGCGTAACTCGTTTTGTTTAGTGAGATTTAGCTCCGGATCGCTTGAAATATTAACAGTAATCTGGCTACCTTTGCAGCACATTCTTGCCACCACTTTTACTGCTCTTTCAGATCGAACACTACTCATGATGGCGCAGGTTTGGAGCTATTTGGTTTTTAACCGACTGCTTAGCATCCCTTTGGCCATCATTCCTCCCTTCATTTAAGTATCAAAATGTTCTGGTACCAGCAAACTTCCACCCGTTTCGATCAGGGATGAAGGTGGATTCTTCAGTCAGCGCCTGATTAATCGTCCGTCTATGGGAGAAGAACGAAACTCGAGTGGTAATGTATGAATCAATGAGTTGTCAGTGTGTCCGTTTTCGTAATAAGACTTAAACTCATCGGTTCACCGTCATCTTTCGGTGACAGCTAAGGCTTTTATTCTTAAGCATCAGGCTGAAGGCCGCTGCATCAATCGTATCTCCACATCCACACTGTGTGTGTAAATGTTCCACACTTTTGTGTACATAGATTCTGTCGAAAGCCAAGCTTGCTGAGTAGTTCGTAAACATACTGTTAGCGGATCGTCAGAGTATACGATGATCCTAAAAATGATGTCCTCTACCTCACTCGCTGTTCATTTTCGCTATGGAGGCTAACTCCAGTGATCAGATCATCGCCGGTGAGAAACACGTTATTCGGGAGTACGCAGTCGACATTAGCCTTATCTCCAAAGAGGTGCACTGGGTACTACTCTCTTGTGATTGTCGCTCATAGGATACTGTCATAATCCAAGCTTTGCGGTCTCTGAACACGCCCCCAGGGATTCAAGATCATCATCATCAAAGGCAGCAACATCAGTGTTGGCACTGATGCTTCACTGCCGTAGGGATTCAAGGAGAAGCAGTGAGGGTTATGGGGAGTCTAAGATGGGTCAGTAGTCTTGTCATCCATGATAAGAACGCCTCTTATAGATTAGCGCACGCACATCACAGGCCTAATGTGGATTGGCCGAAATACATAATTATCGTTGAGTCTTAAGGGTTGCCTGTAACAGGCTGTGATGCCTGTTGCCGAGTGTTTGCGGGGCATGGTAGCTGCAGGTGGGGATTCGGCGACATCTGCAGTTTTCTGACCTTAACGTCTGATATCCTTCGCTAGTTTTGTAAACCATCAGCGGACTCCTGCTGCAAAGCGAGTAATCAGTTGCGGAGCGGGTATCTTAGTTAACTTCAGTGACTCTGCCGTGTTCTACAAATACCAAGTCATTGTTAACACGGTAAAGAACACTGTTTTTAGCTAATCAGGTGGCCATTTGTCTGGTTGCTGAGCTTGGCAATCGACTTGCAGGTGTTTCCTTACCATTCGAGGAGATATCATCAGTGCGCCTCTAGATGGGTTCTGTATGATCCTTGCGGAAAGGCTCACCGTGTCAGACCGAATGGAATGTGAATGGTATTTTGGATGTTGTTGTGGTGCCCCGTGTTCCCGTGAAACCATTACTTTGATTAGCTATAGATTTTGTGGTATGTGGCGCTTACGTGCTTCTGAACCCTCAATTTCCATCCAGGTTGTCTGAATGAGGTGGTATAGGCAGGTCTATGTGCCTTTACCTGTAGGTTATAAACTCAACTGACCACTCTCCACTTATTGTCACCGTCCAGATCGTGAGTCTTCCTGGATTTTATTGTAGTGAACTATCGGGGTCAAAAGTGACGTTGCTTTTTATGATGATCATCATGATGATAATACTGTCGATGATGCGACGAAGTTACGAACTGATGTAATCCTCTTTGTCATCTACAGCGCAATTTGGGGATTTGTGAACCAGAGCCGCAATAGCGCTGCTCTTTGTTACCACACAAGCCATTAGGCCTTCGGGCAACCCTCTTTTCTTACAGCGGGTCTACACCATCGTACAAGTCGTGCAAGCTCACTCCGCTAGAGTCGTGATGGTTGATAGACCACGATCCGACTCCTTCATTCACTACTGTTTTAGGATACCATTCGGATGCATCAAACTAATCTATAGGAATCCAATCCCTCTCCGATAATACCCAGACAGGATTTTGAGCGGAATTTAGAGGATTGGTCTGGGGTTCTCGTGTGACTGGAATATAATCGTTACAGAGGTCTGAACAAAGTATTATTTTATGAATCTGACCTCGGTGTGACTTCAGTGCGACTTTCCAAGCAATGTGCCGGAGCTCCACCATGAGTGTGTGAGATGATTTTATTGGAAAATCTTATGAGCACCTCTTGGCTTCATTGCTTGTCTTGCGTGGCTGATCACCATCAGTACCTAGGGTCCGAATAAACAAAAGGTTCGAACGAGTGACCATCTTCGTCAATTATACCATGAACAAGTCAGTTGAGCTGAGAATCACAGGTAGATCCATTACGATCCGAGGTTCTCTCGGACGTACAAAACCAGGGGTTGTTTTCTGTCGCCTCCAACTCGTAATGTCTCTTAAAATAGTGACGAAAAGGTTGTACCTAAAATTCCAAACTCAACAAACAGATCATCCGCCGCCTGATAAAAAAACAACTGGAGTATCCGATTTACCAATATTCGTTCACATTGGTTGGCATTTTGGGTGTGTCATACTCAACTTCTAGTTGATTATGTGGCCTAGCGGACTTATCAGACTGGCGGTTCAGGAGGTGGCCGCTGACATATTCAAGCAGTCGCCTAGTTTCTCACGTTATATCTGGGTGTCGGATGAGCCAGTGTTTGAAGGATGGCTTACAAAACACTTCTGTTATTTGGCACAATACAATGTCGCATTCATTCGACAAGGATTGTAGGTACTATTTTTATTACTTTTCTTTTTAGACGTGTTTGTTAAGGCAGGGTCCGTTGCTGTTCACGGAGTGATCGCTCATGTCCCAGTACCCTTCTCTTTGGATAACTCGCACATTTGTGACTTTCTCACGCCATCTTGTCCGATCCAGCCGAACCAGTCTTACATGTACACGTTTTCGCTGTTGGTTCGCTCATCCTACCCACCTGTAAGTTGGTTTTTGTCATCTCTATCCTTATACCATGTGGTAAACACTTTCCAGATGAACTGTTTGTCTTATGATAGTTTTGATAGTTTCCTCATGAATTAGTGGTAATAATAATGATAGAAAGCAGTCCAGCTGCAGCATCCGTTCGGCGCAAAGCTGCCGTGCCACCTGAAGAAAGCACAAGGGTTGAAATACTGCCAGGTTGCGCATTCCTAAAGAGCGGCAGTCGAGATGCGGAAGTTGGTTTCGAACCACGAACCTCCCAGTCAGTAATTTTGCCTATTACCTACTCAGCTACATCTAACTCCTTTTTTCCATGAAGTTCTTATCAAAGCAATAGTATGCCAGACTGTTTATTCTCCGGACTTATTTTTTACGCTTCCTCTAGATTCGACTAGATATTCGTTGGGAGCTGCGAGATGACAGTGGGAGTGATATCGCATGTGTGCAGTTCCCCGCGCAAATTCACGACTGATGAGGACTGCGAGTTCCGGAACGCAATGAGCCTTGAGATGCAGAATTTCCAGGCTGGAAAATTTCGCATGATATTGATTGTCTTTTATCCGTTGTCTGTGCCACACTAGATATTCGGCCTCTTTTGAAAGACACTATTTTACAATCTCAAAACTTTTGACGTGTCGTAAACCAATAAATAAATTCTTCGCCTCTTACCACTTTGGGAACAGTTTTGTGAGCTGCATTCCAGGGTATCTTAAATCTCATACTGTCGTTTGACAAGCGTTCAATGTAAGCGACCTTGGTATTATAAACCCGGTATTATAAACTGTGTTTGTTGGTGTAATGTTTATTTCTTGACGGTAGGCCTTTAAAAATCCAATGGTCGTGCTGCCTGAACTTCAAATATTCGTTTCTACACAGTACTCCCGATTGATGTGTCTCCCTCTGTTGTTTGGACTCTCATATTCACAACCCAGCCTAGCTAGTTGTTTTGAACTACCTGCCTTTCGATTCCAGACATTTTCGGAACGTTATCCGATCTACAATCTGAAGGTTACTCGGACTGTGTAGGGTATTGTGTCGTTTATCGTGTCAACCGGTTCATTCCAGACCACTAGTTTGTAGACTCCGGTATTGGTTTCCAGCGTTTTTCGAAATGTTTGCTACATGAAATTGTGCATGCCCACGCAGCGTGTTGCCTGCGGTGTGGCTTAGTTTGAACTGAAGCGACGGAAAGCTTAATTGCTAAATGTGAATTCCGATGAGTTTATGACCAAATGACAGTTTGTCTGATCGACGCGTGGTCGAATTTTGTCATAATTCATAAAATTATAATGAATCATCACTGCAAAAAATTACGTCAGAACGGGACACAACTGGCAAAATGGATGAATACCCCTGAGATATTAGTAAGAATGACACCTATATGGTGTGTTGACAGAACTGATTTGCGTGGGCAGTACTCGTCCTTCAGCTGTAACACCCTTTCGGTGCCATGCCACTCGAAGGAAGCACGAGGGCTGGGATGCTGTCAGGTTGCCAAAGCCTAGACAGGAGAAGTCGAAAGGCAAAAGTTGGGTTCAAACCACGGACCTTCCGGTCAGTAAATCCGTGTTCTTACCGCTTGGGCCATCTCGCCAACAGGTTGAGTAATTCACTGCCGCTCGCCTAGGTAATACTCGCGCTACTAGTGAAAAAGGTAGTCGCTTTAGACAGAGCACAGCACTTGGATCGGGTAAGATATCCAAGCCGTTTCTAAGAGTACGTGAAGACCTCATGTAAACTGCGTATACTTTTTGCGGAATTCATCAGTTTGAAAAATGTTGAAGAAACTGGTAAGATGTGTTGGTAGAAACTACGCAAGCCAATATGTCACTGTGAGACTCAAGTGAATATTAGTTGAATTCTTTAATGATAATGTCCTTCGGATGAATTTTGCTATTCCAAACCATAATTCTGCCCCTCAGGGTGTCAGACATTCGATACTTGAACGGGCAGTACTTAAGCAGTAAACTTTGTCCCAAGGTCTCATTGGAATTTGAGCACAACCCACGTTCCGGACTGCCTGTCTCGGGTTTATCAAATCTGTGCAGCCAATAAAACTGACTGCCAAGTGCAATCAGGGGGCGAGCCTAGGGAAAGGGACTGCAATGGTATCTTCAATATCAGGATTCATCGCTGAGGTGGTAATGCAAAGATTAGAGCGCACAGCAGTGGATCCACTACGTTGACGACACCTTCGTCATCATCAAACGAGATTCAGTACACAATGCACACGAAATGCTCAACACCAAGTTTGAAGAGATGAAGTTTACAATCGAACTGGAGGGAACAACCGACAACCATTCTTGAACGTTTTAGTGAACAGAAAGGTGGATGTGGCTCTGGAAACCTCTGCATACCGGAAAGAGACACATAGGGATCAAATACTGAACTGCAACTGCAAACATCCAATGAACTGCAAGAATGGTTGCGTCGACACCCTGTTCAAGGGAGCGGAGACACGCTGCACTACCACAGAATTACGGAAGAAGAGTGCGTCAGAACAATAGATTTCCAAGGAATTTTATCAAGAGAAGCTTGGAAAAGAAGACGCCTCAACAACAGCAACAGCGAAAACAAGCGATCAGACGGGTAGTTCTGTCCTACATGAAGGATGTATCAGAACTCACTATCAGATTGTTTGCTCGAAAAGGGATCCTCGTGGCCCACAAACCGAATGCTATTGTAAGGAAACTAATCTCAAGACCGAAGAACAACCGAGACAAACAATGTAATATACCAAGTCCACTGTGATATATTCTGCGTTGGACAAACCGGGAGGAAGTTACGCACACGGATAAAGGAACACTATGCGGCCGTCAGGAGACATGACCCTCTCTCCATAATATCCATACACGAGGACCAAGGAGGTCACAAATCCAATCTGAAAAATGCAGAAATTTCCGGCACAGGGATACGAGACACGGAAGTGAATTTCTGGAAGCATGGTACTCCACGGTGGAATCGATCAACCGATGAATTAAGCTGGATCCAAGTTATGCAATACCACGTGCAACGGACCAACATCTAAAGCGGATTACCCAGAGAGAAGCGAATATCGGATGCCCAACTGCGAAACAAGGAAAGCTTTGAAGTCAGATCAATAAAGTTCACGAGCCGGAACTCGGAGGGTCAAGAACACAGGTCACTCCGGTGTCGACCAGAGTACGAGAGCCGTGAACCACAAGCTCAGTGGTCACGTAGGCATCGACGAACCAGGACACAGGATAACAGTGCAACCGGTGCAACCGCCCGACCGAACAACCAACAGCGATGGAAGGCCAGCCCTGGTTAGCAGCACTTATATCAACACACACGGAACACTACTCAATTCACAACAACCAACTCATCGCCACGCTCCCTAACAACGCACTGATGGTGTCACTTCAACTGGTGACGTTTGCAATCAAATTACCCAAACCAACGACTAAGTAGGCCCATAAAAGTGCTCTTCTACGATCATATGTATTAGTAAGTCAACAGTAATGAAACAGGCTATCTAGTAGTTACTCTGACGTAGTAAATTTTTTCCCAATTGTTGATTATGGAAAGGAACATCAGATAGCTCTGTGTTAAGACTGTATTTCAGAATATTCCTACAGTGGAAGTGAAGAAATTACGTGCACACGTAGTCAAAATCCGGAGGTCTCAACAGCCAGGGACTCTAAACATTGTTGAAGCAAAGCGAAGAGCTTTCGATACCTTAGGACAAGCGGATAGAGTGCAGGAGGTTATACAGCATCTAGCGACTGGGCGGTCACGTCAATAAGCGGTAAGAGTGAGGTGGAATTTTGGACGGATGGTCAAAATCCTGACAAGTGTTCTAAAACCAGTAAGGCATCCGCGCATTCGAAATTCGTATAATTTTGCTTTAAAAGTAAGCTAGGTATTCGTTGAGGATAGACCAAATGCTCATTATGCTTGATGCCATCAAGAAGTACGAAAACGACCCTAGAGATTGCAAAGCCGTGCTACCAACAGACAAGGCTGCAAGAACAGATGCAACTCTCCGTGGATGAGATTATCAAAGGCGTCACCGAGCATTACATCTTAAGTCTGCGCTGTACATCCTTAGAACGATTCAGTCCAGGAAGGATGAATCTACTGGCTAATTGACAGCAATGAACAACTGTTTATGGTGATCATCCAGTCAGCTATTTTGAGGGCTTTCCTTCTTGATCACGGTAGTGACTGATGTGCCGTATAAAAAACAGGGTAATGAATGTGTCAGCTTGATTGTATACGACTTCACTTGTTAAAGATCCCCGCTTGTCTCGAGTGACTAACTCACGGTGTTTCCTACGTACCCATCAACCTGGTATTCATTTGATTCGATAACTCATCACATCGAAAAAGAAACTTTTGCTCAAAATCCACTTAACTAACTGGATGAGTGTCGCACCCTCCGGTTGCAGCAAGTGCGACTTCGAGAAGCTCTAGTTCCATCGGACCGACTAGATGCAACAAATTTTGGCATAAGGTATATAGATTCTGGTGTTAATCGAGCATGTGAGTCGAGCTTTCTTCAGCTAATTAATTGTTGGCACATTCAGCTGATTGACATGTGTGTCTGTGTGTGTGATCTATCTACCTGACCTATCTACCCATGTGTGTTCGTGCCCTGTCTGCTGAGCCTGCGCTGACTTGTTCTGTCGCCATTTTGGCGTGCTCTCATTGCTAATCAAAACCACTTGGTTAGCCTCGGAAGGATCAACCATAGCACACACTGCCTGGTCAAAATTTCGCTCGCCGCTGGGTGGACTGCAGACTTTGACAGGCACTGTGCTGGTCAGTGACAGGTTTGTGCATTGGTTGACGTCAAGTGTGTCTGTATAGTACCTCAGACCTTTTGATAATTGGGATCGTCAAACCCATACGTAATTCAAAGTTCCGTATTTGGATCCTTAACAGTGTTGAAGAACAACGTACTTTGTTATCTTAAACATCGAATCTAGAGGATGTCTTTGCTCTGCACAGTGGATTGGGGACAACCAAGGAAGGTTGATTCATTCCAGTATCAATAAAACTCCCATATACGAATGGCTGATTCGTTCATGATCAGTGACTGTCTGAGAAGTTCGAGCAACGATCGAAGAACACACTATTCAAAAAATGAAAGACAAATAGTCATGTGCAGCACAGACGCGGTCAACCGTTTGTCTGAGAACCAAATAGCCCCACCGCTTGGACGCACACATTAAAGGTTCCGGATCGACCTAATCAGAGGTAATGGCGTGGTCGAATTTCACACAGAATTCTTTGAACATATATTTCTGCGGTAACTACAAAGTAGAGTACGCATCCGGCGCACGTTAACGAGAATGACAATAGTGAAGACACATTCACTCTGCTCAGATAATTCGACTGAGGTCAAGTATGCGCGCCCAGTACCTCAGCTTGTTCAACACAGATGCGTACTTCCTACCGATATGAGCGTACATTCTTGGTGCTGTGAGTATCGACCCAATGGTTAAA